ATCCCGATGGCAAACACCGGGGGGGGTGGCTTGTTTTGCAACGTCGTTGCCAAGCGACGAAAACCCAACCCCGATGGCAAACACCGGGGGGGGCGGCTTGTTTTACAACGTCGTTGCCAAGCGACGAAAACCCAACCCCGATGGCAAACACCGGGGGGGGCGGCTTGTTTTACAACGTCGTTGCCAAGCGACGAAAACCCAACCCCGATGGCAAACACCGGGGGGGGCGCGGGGAGGGGGGGGTGCAGTGATTGAATCAGCCCGGGAGGGGGTTAGCCTTGAAAAACATCGGCCTCACTAAGCGTATGTGTGTCAGGAAATGTAGCGAGCAAACCGTGTCGAGAAGGCCAAATGAAACAGGCACCCACCACGGGTAGACGATACGCACCCTACGTAAAATGGTGCTGGAGAACGCCTTTTCACAACCGAACCCCAATCCCCTTTCAGGATTCAAGCGAGGGCGAGGGCGGCGGCGGCGCGAAGGGTTCCTCCTCGAAGCGCGATGAGGCCAGTAGCGGCTGCGACGATCCAACCTGCGGGTGCGCGTCCCAGAGCATGCAGAACATGTTCATGAAAGAGGCGATGCCGTCCATGATGTCGGTACGTTTGAAGAACGCGCGACGGTGTTTGTTTGGGTCGCTTTGAGTACGATCGTCGTAACACTGCTGCTGCTGCTGTTGTTGTTGCAATCGATCGGTGTGTCTCTTTCAAGTTTTCCAAAACCATCCCGACTTGGCGCTGTCTATCCTGTTTTTTTACGACCTTGGAACGACCCGTCTTTGTTTGCTTGTCGCAATAAACGAACGGTTTTGCACAGAGCATGATGTCTCCCGGCAGCGGCATGGGGCAGATGACGGAAGAGGGCGCCAAGATGCTGTCCATGATGTGGGCGGCGGGCGGCGGGAACCCCCCTCCGGGTTTGTCTCCGTCGACGCCCATGACAGCAGCCGGTTTCGCCGAGTTCATCTCGAGCGTAGGCGGTGGTCTGGGCGGCGAGGGCGGCGAGCAGAGGGGACAGGGGCTGTCATCGTCCGGGAAGGCGGCGGCGGCAGGGGACGACGATGACGACAGCACGGAGCCCCCGCCGCTTGACCCTGAAAGCTCGTCGGAGGAAGGGGGTGATGACAGTGGGGGCGGAGGAGCGGGGGGGGGGGGGGGGGGGGGGGGGGGGGGGGGGGG